CTTTACTACTCATCTACCATTTTATCTAGGATTACTGAAGAGAATAGCGAAACATTCAACATTGCTGACTTTGATGATGACCGCTTTTTTGAGAAGCACTTGCGAATACCACTGTAATTTACTGTTATTTTATTTTCCCATCTTAAACTTTAGTGGGTTCAAATTTGATTCTCTTGATTCATTAGATATTTATGAAGACAATAAAAAAATAGATAAAAAGCACAGATTACATTTGCAAAAGTAGGTTCATATTCCGTACTTAAAAAAATCAGTGACCACAGTGACCTGAGTCATGTCTTTGAAATTTACAATCAAGACAAGAGTGAACGACCATCAAAAAGAACTAGAGATAGTATTAAAGAGTAAAAATTTTTTCTTATATTTTTAAAGTAAAACTTATTTTAAACATCGGGAAGAATCAGATGAGTTTCATTCGCACGATAAAAAGCCTAGACTCGATGGAAATGAAATACTGAGACCCAGCATTTCTTCTGGTAAAAAATATGAAAAGAAGGCAGACGATGGAGTAAATAAAGAGGATAAAAAAGGACCGATTTCCTTGGAACAGTTAATTGCTCTTAGAAAAGCTGAAGAGGCAGAGTTAAATAAACCTAAATTTATCCCCAAGGCACAGCGTGCTATTGAGGCAATGAAGCGGCGAGAAGAAGAAGTACGAATGCAGAGAGAGAAAATGAACGAAGGCCTCAAGAAGCAAATAGAATATTTGAACAAGTTGAACGGTATTAATGTTCTTATGTAATTTCCTAGATAATGATGATCGTCGAAGGGATCGGATCTATCGATCTCGATATGATGATGAACGTAGGGATAAATATAGGGATAAAACGAGAAAATTGGACAAATCTGGGGATAAACAAGGGTTAAATGTTGATCGAGATAAACAACGTGAGGAAGAAGCTGTTAAAGAGCGTTATTTGGGTCAAAAAATCTTAACTAAGCGCCGTCAACGCCGTTTGAATGAAAGGAAATTTGTATTTGAATGGGACGCTTCCGAAGACACCAGCCAAGATTACAACCCGCTTTACAAAGACAAGCATCAGGTCCAATTTTTTGGTCGTGGGCATCTTGGTGGTATCGATATCAAGGTGAAAATATCATTATTTTTGCTTAAAATCGTATATGCTATTTTCTACAATTTTATCCAAATATCGCTACTAATTGCAACTAATACCTAGGCTCACTATTATGTGGTAGCTTCTCCTTCATTCGCCTTGAGAATTATCACGAGATTTACTCTTTTTGTAGATTTACTCAATCTTTGTATATCAGTCATCTCTTTATTTTCATAATTAGGCTAAATGCTTTTTAAAAATATTGTTCGTTTTCGTATTCAGCAACAAAAAAAAGAAATTGGACGCTTCTATTGTAAACTTCTCGAAACTAGGCGTTCATGCGCCCAAAAAGAACAGGAAACGTGAGTCAATGAAATAATTATGAATTATTAGCATATTTTAAAGAGCTAATTATGACACTGGGGATTTTTTCTTTGCATCTCTACTTTTATAAGCGATTTTACGGAGACAGAATATCTACTAAATCTTGTCATTAAATCATCTACACACCAAAGCATATATTTATTCTCAAGTATAGCTTGTCTGTATTCTTTCAAGCTTATATTAGTTACCGAGTCAGGTTTAGCTCTGCTCACAGTTATTTTAGGCTCAGTAAGTAGGAAGGTAGAACGACCAAGATGGTGTGGCCTTTTGTGTGGTCGCAGTCTCCTTTCGTTGTATATAAGTTGTCTGACCTTGTTT